ACACACACACACACACACATACACACACACACACACACACACACGAACACACATCAGAATGTCTCGATTTGTCGTCTTGTGGATTGAACACGGATTTTGCAAATGAAGTTGTCGTCTCTGCTGCTTTCCGACCAATGAAGTGGTTGATGATGGACATGTCCGCTATCGTCAGACTGTCGTCAATGCACATGTCGTGGTACCCTCCCTTGGCGATCGTCATTGCAGTGCGCATGTGAATATAAGGACATGCCGTGACTTTGAGGGTTTTGTAGCCTTTTTTTGTTTTAAGTTGTTGTTCAATTTTGCTATTTTAGTTACTTTTATTTTGTATGTTCTTTTTTTTTTCCCCCTGTCCATCTGTATTTTCATTTTCATGTTTTGGGTTTTTTTTACGAGCCCCGGCGCCGGGCCGGCGGTGGACATCAATTTCCCTGGTGCGCCATGGCTGAGCACGGCGGTGAGTGGATGGTGGGTCATTCGATGCCGGCAACGATGTGGATTTGAAGGGGGGGGGGGGGGGGGGGGGGGGGGGGGGGGGGGAGGGAGTTCGTGGAGGGGGCAGGCTTCCTTTCGATTGTCCATGGGGATGTCCATTTTCGAAGCCTGCATGGAAGGAGGGTGTCACGTCGCCCTCCCAATCCCCGTCGACGGTGACCTCTAGGCCACCGTCGTTTGGATGGAAAACTTGTAGCACCGTCGTCCAAAGGGCGGGGCGCCATCACTCCGCGCCACCGTCCTCCGCGCACATTAGAACATAAGCAGGCCGCAGTCCTCCCGATACGCATTTTCAATGTGCGCACCGGGTGTTGACACTGCAGACGAATGCATTCTCGCCATCTCGTCTTCTGCTTTTGTGCGCTGGTGTGTTATCGCCTGGTCCCGCCACGCGGACCTCGATTCACGGGTGCTCTCATCGTCGACCACCTCGCCGTCTTTTTTTTTTTTTTTGAACAACTTCACCGGTGTTAGTGATGCTAATAGGAGCAGACACCACTAACACCAGAGCCGACTTCCATTCTCACCGCCCTGCATTCTTGTTGCCGTCATTCCTCGTCGCCGCCTTGTGCTCACACAGCTCCGCATCCGTACCAGGCATCTTTCCTTCTCGCCAACCCGTAGTCTTGACGCCATTTTTCCTTCTCGCCGCACTGTACTCCTCCGCCGCCCCCTAGTCATCGCGCCATCTTTCCTTCTCGCCGCCCTGTACTCATCTCCCCGCCCCACGGTCTTCGCGCCCGGAAGTTTAGCGAGTGTGATCGGAGGCGCATTTCCGGGAACCGCCATGTCGTCCCGTGGAGGTGGACGGGGGAAGGGTGCCTTGAACCAGGTCATGGAGGTCGCGGCTCCCGCGAAAAAGGGATGCCATCAAGCGAAGAAGCAGAGGAAGGTCGTCCAAGGCGGACCCGCAGGCAATGCGCGAGACGTTCACGAGGAGGTGGTGGTGGAGGAGGAGATGATGAACAAGGACGACGACTTTGAAGAGGAGGAGGAACAACCGCTAAAGGGGGAGCGGGACACCTTCCGCACGGCGCGGCGGTGGGGGTGTCGCGGGTGGACACCCCGACTTAATCGACGTTGAACGCGATGTGCCAATGAGGGAGATTGGTGGGCGTGTGAAGGAAGGGGCCGCCGCGCATGAATCTGTGCAATGCGTGCAAACGCCTTCGAAATGCCTCAATACCCCGCCTGTAGACGTGGCGGGTAGTTCCCAAGTGGCGGTCCAAGGTGAGACGTTGCGATCTCCTGCGGTGGTGTCGCGCCGCGACGCTGTCACGGCAGCGGGGGAGGCGGGCGAAGTTCCAAAAGCGGGGGATGGCGGGGTGGTTGGGGAAGACGACGAGGCTCTAGTGCACAGGCTGCGCAGGCCACATGCGGCGTCACATGCAATGTATCTTGCCACCAAACTTTGGGAGGACAACACACGTTTCTGGAATGAGACGCAGGGGAGCGCCATAGTGAAGATCATCCAAGAGACGCGCGAGTATCTCGTGTTAGTGGCGCGGGGAGTGCAGCCTCCGGCTATTCGATGGAGCATCTCCCTTCCACACAACACCATCCCCCATCACAAAATCGAGGATGAATCGAAATTCAATGCGGCGAAAGAGAGGGCGTTCAAGGTGCAGACAATCTCGCTGAGGGCGATCCACGGTTGCGTCTTCAAGTCCGAGAGTAGGCAAAGGGGGTATCAATTGGCGTACCAGTACGCCTTGAATCACTCAGCTACTGATATCGCTAGAGCGATGTGGTCAGCAGAGGACTGGAGCACTTTGGTCAGCCTGATGTTATTCCGCACCACACTGGACGTGGATATGAAGTTGCCTTTGTGGTTCGTTGGCGCGAACATAGTGGACAGGCACGAGGACGATGAGTGCGCGGCTTACCAGGAAGCTTGTGTTCAGCGTTTGGTGCGGGATTTTACTAGCGCAGTGGGCACGGCCGAAGCAATGGACGACGGGCTTGTATCATACGAGCGTCTGAAGGCCATGGTAGAGGCGATGAGGTACTTGCTGGCGGCAACAATGTGGATAATGCGAATGGTAGGGGACGATCCAAAATCGCATTACGACGCTTGGGTTTTCATGCAACTCTCTGCGAAGACGATGCTGCTTGCGTCCATGAACCGACAATTTGACGTCCGCCGCCACATCATACAAGCCACGCAAGTGATGACGGACAAGTTGGGGAGACCGCCTCCGACCTTGCCCCCCCCCCCCTTGTGTACATCCCTGATTGGGTGTCAAAGTGCAGAGTCACTTTCTTGCACGACGCGACGTTGGCCTCCCCGATGGAGGCGAAAAGGTTGGATTGGTTGGGGACAGACCCCCCCGAGGACGAGGATGAGGTCGACGACGGTAATGGCAAAGTCGAGGGGTGGTGATGTGCATGACATCGCGAGAGGGAAGGGGATGACGCCAAACGCAGATTGGCTATTGCAGACGGGCGATTATCGGAGGCGGCCACCGGGGTGCTGTCGTCAACATGTTCGGTCTTCGCCGAAGAGGACCGCTGAATGGTAATGCGGTTCGTCTGTGGTCATTGTGTAGGTTGGAGGTGGTCCTCGTGTTCCGCGTCTTCCCTGTTTGCCGTCACTTCTTTGACGATGGCAGAGAATGCAAGCAGTCACTCCACGCCAAGTGCAAAGTGTAAATACTTCACGTGCTCGGCCGTGGAGTGACGATTCTCGAACGACATATCCGTCTTCCGGCGACGTGGCAGCCGTTCTCTATTTCGCCACGACCTGTTCATATCATAGGGAGAGGAGGAAGGGGGATTGTTGGGAGGGGGGAAGGAGGGGGAGGGGGGGGGGGAAGCTGGGGTTTTGGGGTTAGTGGCTTTTATGTGGGGCATGGGGTGGGTAGTGTAAAGGTTTATGGGGGAGACGGGGGTTTGTGGCAGCGTGGGTGGTTGCGTTCGGGCCAAGAGTAGATGAGTAGGCAGGTGTCATGGGGGGCGGCAACTTCATTTCCGTGGGACCGATCGTCCTTGAACCATTGTTATGTATTAGTGTATAGTTCTCCACTTGTTTTTTTGTCTTTTTCTTATCGTTTATCGGGTTTTGTCATGTGAATGTTATGTCTATCGAGCGAACAAACCCATGTGCAAGTCTGGTAAAGCGAACGTCCTTCCATTTAGTGATCTTGCTGACCTTAACGGCCATGCGTTGTTTTTGTTTTCAATCGATCCTTCAGTTTTATAAAGCGTATGTGAGGCGGGGTTGGTTTGTTGTGATATTGAATGCTGAATGTTGATGGCGAGAAAGTGATGCATCCAACTATGTTTTCATTTTTCTAGTTATCGAACATCCAATCCATATCCATTCCATCATTCCAGGAACTGATTGTAATGTGAGCGTATTTGGAAATGCAAAAAATGGAAATGGCAAAGGTCGATGTAGACAAAGTGATAGACAGTCTTCCGAACCACGGACAAAATAGTTGTGGTGCACCGTTGCAAACGCATGCAATCCGAGTTCCCTCGAACACAACAACGAAAGAACAGATGAAGGAACGCAATTCTGCAAACACCTGTATAAGCAAAGGACACGCTGTCATCAAAAAGGGAAAAACCTTTCAAGGCAACCCCTTTTCCCTCCCCAACCACATGAATGCCCCCCCCCCCCCCCGCGACACAACCGTAGCCATCGTGCACCGTCATCACAATTAATATCTCGCTGAATGCCACGTGCAACCGCGCCACGCGGACTCCGCCAACGACGACATCCACAACCAGCGATTAAACTACCACACCCAACACTGCGTGTAACCGCGCACAATGTTGGGAATAGAACAAGTAAAACAAAAAAATAAAACGAGCCCCAAAAAACAGAACTTGTCACCACACACACGAAGAGACCTACGCGCACTGCCCGCGAGAGACACGTCATGCACTTCTCGCCACAAGGACGCTACCACGGGTCGACTACTGCGCCACAAAACGGAAGATGACTCCCTGACGGACGGCGACGTGGATTACACTTGGATAAAGCACACTGCGCCTGACGACAACAATACAGCACATCCTGATGGCAGCAGACTTGAGGGCATCATCATTGTGAAGATACAGCACCGCCAATGGATGTGGGAAGCGGACATCCCCTTCCTTCCCACCACAGGATCTCTTCGGTGCTTCCCCGCTTCACACAACTCCGTTCTTCCGCCTCATTATGGTCATAGCGGGGTCTCCACCTACACGCACGACCATCCTCACTGCGCACTCATCCGCTTCGCCAGCACGTCCCTCAATATCAGTGCATCCCCCGTTGATGACTCCATGCACACCGGCTTCAGTGGTTGATGCATCCCAAGATCGACTCTACGATGCATGCCGTCCGAACCCACCTCCCACAACAGATTGTCGTCGAACGGGACGCTTGCGTCGATGAGTATGTTATGGAGGATGCAGACTGCGATAAATTGTTGCGGCAAGGTCTCCATGCTGGACTTGTGGGTGCAGAGGAACAACCTTTACATCCCCTTCAGTCTGCCAAACGCCCTCTCCATTGCTCCCCTCGCCGTCTTTTGTTTGTTGTCGAAGCGTGCCTCCGACGGGTGCTGCGCGAGACCACCGTAAGGGACGACTATCCATTCGGGCTGGGGATAACCGTTGTCGCCGAGCAAGTAGCCATTAGTCCGCACACCGAAAGACAGCATCACAGGCGACCCAGTAAAAAGTTGTTTCGCTTTCACGCGCGCCCTGAAACTGGACAGGTTCAACATCCTCATATCATGCACACTGCCCGGGTAACCGACGAAGACGCCCATCACAAGCAAGTTTATGTCCATGACCACGTGCGCCTGCACGAAGAATCGACGTTTCCTGTCGCAGTAGTCCTCCCCGTTGGCGTTGGCGGGCTTATCGATGTAGATGTGGGTGCAGTCGATGCACCCATGGCAGTTTGGAAAACCCTTGTCTGTGAACACACGCAAGACGACCACCTTCTGCAAACCTGTGGACCAGGATATCTTATCGGGGTACGCAGTCAGCAACGGCGCAGTGACGTTCCGCACCACTGTGATGCCAGAAGACCTGCCAATGCCGAAGCTACACGTTCCGCTGTCGTATGTCTACCCCGACGCCCACCTATACAGAGCGTAGGCGATGATGTGGTCTGGTTGCAAGGGCACCCTGTAGCAACAGTCGTTCTCTCTATCGTCGTCAGACCGTTACGCCCGACCTCGCCGTCAATATCCATCCCCGACGCCGCTTCCAAGGACATGACGTCAATAACAACACACGACTCCACAAAAGCCGCCGCGTGGAAAAACACAGCGCCGCCTCTGCAGACAACCTTCGACGCCACGCACTGACGACGGTCGTGTGCCCGCGACGATGATGAGAAGTCGATGTCGTCTCCATTTCTGCGCACGCGTAGACCTGCGTACTCGTGGACGACAACCGCCGACCACCATCGTCACTTATGCGAATGCCCCGAATGTCGAACGCTGATGCAATCGGGTGTGAAACGGACGTCCATCATGCGCCGTCAATCGCAGGCTAAGATTTCGAATTTTGAATTTTAAACTGTGGCCGTGCGCGCCTTTTCCAATGACCCTTTTTTTTTTTTTTTTTTTTTTTTTTTTTTTTTTTTTTTGATTCGAATTCGCGGCGGCCAACAGAGGTGGACCAACGCCGTCCGCACGGACACAACTAGATGGACCACCATCAGCTTCACCCCCGCGTCCGCTAGTAGATATATAAACCTGGCCGCGGGAGCCCCGAGGAATCGTCCTCGGGGGATGACTCCGAGGACGAGTGGAACGAAGGCGGGAATTTCCTCGGGCGACTCCAAGGAATTGTCCTCGGGGCCCAAGGATGCCCCGAGGAGTGTCGAACGAGGCCCTAATCAGAATGATTGTCTCTTGATTTCCTTGAGAAGTAAAATTCTTACTGTCTTTGTTCTGGCGCGGGGGCTGCCCTTAGTGTTTCGTTTTTAGAAACACCTATTGTTGAAGACTTAGGGGCTCGTTCAACACTCCTTGGGGATGTGAAATCCACAAGGAGGCGCTCGTTCCACCTGTCCTTGGGGATGAAATTGAAAAAGAAATGTGAAAACGCCACAAGGAAAATTCCTTGTGGCATCCTTGTGGTCGTAGCCATTTCCTCCTTCAAGGGCCCTCACATGGATGGGGGGGAAGCTGCAAATGCGGATATAAAATTAAGAGATCATGAGTGTTGGCTCCCAAGTCTGCAGGGTGGAAAAAAGAAAATCCGCCTATTCCATGAGTCTAGTAAGAACAACAACTTGGCTCATTGTTGTATAAGCACCCCCACGTTCGCTCGCCATGTGAACAAATATAACTTGTATGATTAAGTTTTTGTTGCATATGTGCGCCCAATGAAGGAGGGTGAAGCTAAAGAAGAGGTCAAACCCCCAGATGTTGAAAGGATTATAAAAGAATTCGCAAATGTGGCAGAGGCCCCAAGCGGTGTAATTGAGAGACTTATCAAACATCGCATTGAGATTGTACCAGAAAGTCAAATTCCTAAGGAGCCTATATATCGAATGTCACCTAAAGAATTAGAGGAACTGCGAACCCAGCTTGATGAAATGTTGAAAAAGGGATGAATAAGGCCTAGCTCCTCGCCTTATGGTGCGCTAGTGTTTTTTGAACCAAAGAAAGATGACGGGGTCCGCATGTGCATAGATTATAGAAAATTGAACGATATAATAGTTAAGAATGTTGAGCCATTGCCGATAATAGATGATTTGTTGGATAAAGTGCAGGGTAAAAAGTACTTCACTAAGATTGATTTGAAGTCTAGCTACCATCTGATTGAGGTAGAGCTAGAAGATCAATACAAGACCACTTTTCGAACAAGGTATGGGCACTATGAGTTCATTGTGTTGCCCTTTGGTCTTACGAATGCCCCTGCAACTTTCCAAAGAACTATGAATGAACATTTTCGTGAATGGCTTGATAAATTCGTCGTAATATATCTCGATGGTATTTTGATTTTTAGTAAATTTGAATAAGCATTGCGAGCACCTTCTACTTGTGCTAAATAAATTGCGTGAAACAAAGTTGAAATTAAACCCAAAGAACTGTAAATGGGCTAAGCGTCAGGTTTTATATTTGGGGCATGTGCTTGACGGTGATGGAATCAAACCGGAAGATACGAAAATTGCAGCGATTTGCGATTGGCCTAAACCCCGCACTTTGATAGAGTTGCGGTCGTTCCTTGGGCTAGCCAACTATTATCGGACGTTCGTTAGACACTTCATGATAATTGTTGTGCCTCTTCGCAAATTGATCAAGAAAGAAACAATATGGAAATGGTACTCAGAATGTACAGCTTCGTTTAAACACCTAAAGAAATGTCTGATTAACTATCCGATTTTGAAAGTTGTTGATCCCTCTTTGCCCTTTGTCATCACAACCAATGTCAGTCAGTACGGGATAGGCGCTATACTCCAACAAAATGATGGGAATGGATACAGACCTGTTGAGTTTATGTCCCGACGACTACCTAATGAGAGGGTCGTCGCTTCTACGTATGAGATAAAGTTGTTTGCTCTCTGGGAAGCTCTGGATTATAGGCGACACTATCTCTTAGGACGCCATTTCAAAGTGTACTCAGATCATGAGACACTCTGTTGGCTTAAAATGCAGGCCCGGATGAGACCTAAGTTGACTAGGTGGGCTGA